TTTCAACATCATCCTACCTAAAGATGAAATGTGCGCATCCATCTGTAGTCAAATTTCAAGGTAGATTCTTTTTCTTTGACACTGGTCATTAACCTACCCCATGTCACAACAGGGGGAATTATTTTGACACCATAGAAATGAACACAGTCCCGCTCATTTGGGATAAACTTGTGCTTTCTCATTTTCTTTACTTCACTTCTCCTTCCACAATGTAGACAATGTCTTAGAATGTTATTTTTCTCATATCAGGTACCAATAAGTCCGGTCTGTTATTACATGTCCTGACACTGGTTTTTTCTTTTTTTTTTTTTTATCGTACTTTGCGCTCTGGGGTACATGTGCACATCCTGCATCCTGCAGGATTGTTGCATAAGTACGTACATGCCATGGTGGTTTGCTGTCGCTATCATCCCCCCACCCCCGTTACCTACATCAGGCATTTCTCCCGGTGTTATCCCTCCCCATCCTCCCCCACGCTGCTGTCCCTCCCCACCCCTCCAACACCCCCACCTAGCCCAGTGAGTGTTGTTCTCTTCCCTGTGCCCAAGTATTCTCTTTGTTCATCACCAGCCTATGAGTGAAAACATGTGGCATTTGGTTTTCTGTTCTTGTGTCAGTTTGCTGAGAATGATGGTTTCTAGATTCATACATGTCTCTGCAAAGGACACAAACTCGTCATTTTTATGGCTGCATAGTATTTCATGGTGTATATGTACCACATTTTCTCTGTCCAGTCTATCATTGATGGACATTTGGGTTGGTTCCAGGTCTTTGCTATCGTAAACAGCACCACAGTGAACATATGTGTGCATGATAACACTAGTTTTGAACATAATGTTCGCTCCAATCATTGTTAGCCCGTTGTCTTGTACAACTTGCACAGAATAGTTTCTGCTCGTCTTATTTTTCATAAATCCACACAGTCGTTATCAGAAGACATAAACATCTGCCTACTATGTTTTCTGGGGCAGCTGTGACAGATCCTTTGTCCATTAAAAGAATACTGGCCAGGCATGGTGGCTCATGCCTGTAACCTCAGCACTTTGGGAGGTTGAGGAGGGTGGATCACCTGAGGTCAGGAGTTTTGAGACCAGCCTGGCCAACATGGCAAAACCCTGTCTTTACTAAAAATACAAAAGTCAAGCTGGGCACAGTGAGGCTGAGGTTTCAGTGAGCTGAGATCATGCCATTGCACTCCAGCCTGGATGACAGAGCAAGACTCTGTCTCAAAAACAGAAACAAAAATTAGCCAGGTTTGGTGGTGCACTCCTGTAGCCCCAGCTACTTGGGAGGTTCAGACAGAAGAATTGCTTGAACCTAGGAGGCGAAGGTTGCAGTGAATTGAGATCACGCCATTGCACTCCAGCCTGGGTGACAGAGCAAGACTCTGTCTCAAAAAATAAAAAAAATAAAGAAATACTATACTAACTAAACAACTTTCCTTTAATCTATTCTTTTTATTAAAGCATGATATTGATGCTTTTAAATTTTGTGTGTAGGTAGTTGTATTACCTATGAATTTCACTCCAGGATAATAAACAGGCATTTAAAAATATTTGTGAAATAAAATAGGTATTGGATTCAGTAAAGTTGGGAACCATTTGTTCTTAAATGATTAAAATCAAACAGCTGATTCTAAAAGTTTCAATACGGCTCTGGGTGCCCACAAAATTTCCTGATGGTACCAGAAATTTGATAGCAATGATCAGTAAAAGTGAATAGACATTATTTCATTTGGTTTAGCATTGGGCCTGGCATTATTGATTTTCATAGCAGGTGTCTCATTAAATTTCTCAGCCTGTATGTACAAGCAGATACAGGATTGTTAGTAGCATTTTTCAAGCTCTGTTGAAGATGATCACATCTTATACATGAATATTCCTGCTCTTCAGTTGAGCATCCCACCCCACCCAAGTGCGATGAAGACAGAGAATTAAAAAACACAAACCAAGCATAGCGAAGGTGAAAGAGCTCTTGGAATCTTTTCCTTTCCCTTCAGAAGTCCTGAGTGTGTATCAAGATCCTGTGCTCTGTGGCTTTCAGGTGAGGGTATGGCAGATAGGCTGTCAGACCCAGAAGCTGGAGGAGGCCCTGAAGGAGCACAAATCCTTGGTGTCCTGCATTAGGGTGAAGAGGAACAATGAGGAGTGTGTCACCGCCAGCTCCGATGGCACTTGTATCATTTGGGACCTTGTGTAGGTACCTGTGATGGGGAGGATACCATGATACTTGCAAAATCCAATCGTGCCAACAGTTTATTGAACATGAGAGAGGATTCAAATAGAAGGTAGAAATCTTACTTAACATAACATGGTAAAGAGATGTTCATCAGAAGCTGTTCATGAATGTCCATGGTTTATCGATGCTGGTGGGAAGGGTACAGTTTCCAGGGAGAACTGGATGTTAGAAGTTTCTGGGCAGATAGGGAAATAGCTTTCTGGGTCCACACAGCAAAGCATGATTTAACTGACATTAATTCAACCCTAAGTGTCCGAAATGAAAGGGGGCAAGAAAAATAACTAATGCGAGGTCAGGCACAGTGACTCACGCCTGTAATCCCAGCACTTTGGGAGGCCGAGGTGGATGGATCACCTGAGGTCAGGAGTTCGAGACCAGCCTGGCCAATGTGGTGAAACCCCTTCTCTACTAAAAATACAAACATTAGCTGGGTGTGGTGGTGGGCTCCTGGAATCCCCGCTACTCGGGAGGTTGAGGCAGAAAAATCGCTTGAACCCAGGAGGCAGAGGTTGCAGTGAACTGAGATTGTGACATTGCACTCTGGCCTGGACTGAAACTTCGTCTCAAAAAAAACAAAGAGAGAGAGAGAGAGAGAGAGATATCGAGACAGAGAGAGAAAGAAAGAAAAGGAAAAAGAACTAACGCAGGCAGTGCTTTTTATCATTCTGCTTAGTCAGGTAAAGCCCAGAATGATCTCTCCAAGGAGGGGAGGGATGCTGGTGGGACCTAAGTTTACCTTTCCCCTCGATTGGACACATTCCCAGGGACCTCTTATGCTCTGAGCATATCACACCCCCATAGAATGACTAACGTCAAACCAGCTAGACCAAAGCATGTGAACTTTATTGTAGGAGTAACTCAAAGGATTTTTGAAAAGTGGCTTTTTTGGATTTTTGACTATAAGCACTTTTGCTGTGTTTTAATTTTAGAATCAGACCCTATTTCTCCAATCCCTCTTGCCACCTACCTATCACCCCTCAACCACTCCTACGAGGCACTGCCTTAATATCACTGCATAAGAGAGACGAGGATAAGTGCAAAGATGGGAGGAAGGAGACATGCATGACAAAAGAATATGAGAAACCCTTAATGGGAATGAGCACTCACTGTGTACTTAATACATTAAAGAACACAAAGCAGGTTGGGGCGCTGTAGTTCATGCCTGTAATCCTGGCACTTTAGGAAGCCGAGGTGGGAGGATTACAAGGTCAGGAGTTTGAGACCAGCCTGACCAACATGGTGAAACCCTATCTCTACTAAAAATACAAAAATTAGCTGGGCGTGATGGTGGGTGCCTGTAATCCCAGCTACTTGGGAGACTGAGGCAGGAGAACTGCTTGAACCTGGGAGGTGGAGGTTGCAGTGAGCCGAGATCACACCACCGTACTCTAGCCTGGTGACAGAGTGAAACTCTGTCTCAAAAACAAAACCAAATAAACAAAACAAAAAAGCAATGAAACCCAAAGCAAGCTTTTGTCTTCTAGCCCTGTGTATCTCTTGGGGATCTTGTTAAAAACATAGAGTTTGATTCAATAAATGTAGCATGGTACCTGAGATTCTGCATTTCTAAGAAGCTCCCAGCTGGGAGTGCTGGTTCAAGGACCACACTTGTAGAAAGTGTTAGCCTATACTGACCTTCCTACTGGGAAAATACAGAACCAGAAGGACATGTCTGAACTTATTTCTATGGATGGTTTGTGACTGCCTCAAATCCTTAAAGCTGTTCTGTTGTGTAGCAGGAATTCTGGTGCCAAAATCTTTTTAAAATGCTCAGCTCAGATACCACATTTGAAAACTTCCATAATGAGAAGAAACTGTGCAGAAGGTGCATTTTTTAGCCAGGAAAGCCTGGCCTGTGAGATGGCCACCCACTACATTGTCTATGGAAGGAGAAGCGCTATTTACATATTTCTTGGTACAGTATCTAAGGCAGGGGTTCTATTATGCACATAAAATTCAACTGAAATGCTGGCTAAAAATGCAACGTTGGTCGGCATGGTGTGGTGGCATGATCTTGGCTCACTGCAGGCTCTGCCTCCCAGGTTCAAGCGATTCTCCTGTGTCAGCCTCCTGAGTAGCTGGGATTACAAGGGTCTGCCACCATGCCTGGCTAAATTTTTGTACTTTTTGTGGAGAAAGGGTTTCACCATGTTAGTCAGGCCGGTCTCAAACTCCTGACCTCAAGTCATCTGTCCGCTTTGGCCTCTTAAAGTGCTGGCGTGAGCCACTGCACCAGGCCCATAATGCCCTTTTTTTCCCCCTTTGAGACAGTCTTGCTCTGTCGCCCAGACTGGAATGCAATGGCACGATCTCAGCTGACTGCAACCTCTGCATCCCGGGTTCAAGCGATTCTCCTGCCTCAACCTCCTGAGTAGCTGGGATTACAGGCATGCACCACCATGCCTGGCTAATTTTTTTGTATTTTTTTTTTAGTAGAGACAGGGTTTCACCATGTTGATCAGGCTGGTCTCAAACTCCTGACCTCGAGATCCACCTGACTCGGCCTCCCAAAGTGCTGGGATTATAGGCATAAACCATCACACCTGGCCAGTACCAATTTTTAAAATACCCTTCCAAGGGCAGGCTCTTTTCAGCTGTGGGAGGCCAGCTCCCTCTTGGGGGCACCCTGGACAGGGTAGGGGGCCCTTACCATATGCAGACTGGGTTGAGCCTGCCAGCTTTTGCAAAATCCCCACATGACAGGCTCATGTTTTCTGAGGGTTGTGCATGATATGGTACATCTGAACCTGTGTACAAACATGTAGATGACATTTTGCTACAGCTTTTATTTGTGAATTAAAGATACATTGATGGTTAAAACATAAATAAAATAAAATGCCCTTCCCCACATTCTGCTGTTCAGACTGTAGGGAGCTCCACTTCCAAATGGCGGCCTCAAGAATCAATTACATTGTGCGGGAGGCAGCAGGTTGGCTCTGAGTTCAGCCTCTTCTGTTTCTTTTTCGCTGCAACTTAAGGGGTCTCATTGAGTTCTGTGCTCTGTCTTTAGCAAAGGGCACTTCCCATTGTCCTCTGGTGGTCGCTGATAGGCCAACGGCAGTACACAGAAGTAGAGAGGACAGGGCGACCCAAAGTCTGTTTTGAAGAAATACAAACATCACTGTGCTGAGCAGTATGAAATGTTTGGCATAGAGATAAACCAACCCAAATCCCAGCTTGTACCAAATCCAACTTGAATAGTAAATAAATGTTTTAGGGAAGAGAAAGTTGACTTTCACAGCTTTTGCATCTACTTCCCAGGCGGCTTAGGAGGAATCAGATGATCCTAGCCAACACCTTATTCCAGTGTGTGTGCTATCACCCTGAGGAGTTCCAGATCATCACCAGTGGGACAGACAGAAAGGTGAGTCCTCCCAGCGAGAGCTGAGATCTTTCCAGTGCAAGAGAAGTGCCGTGAGGCATTGTGGCGAAGGGGGCAGGTTCTGGAGTCAATCACCTTGGTTCAAATGGCGGTCTGTCATCAATCAGCCATGTCAACTTGGAAAGACCATATCACCTTCCAGTGTCTTCAATTCCCTGTCTGTTAAGTGGAAATGGTACCACCGACCTCATAGAGTGAGAATTAAAGTCATGCTCACCTATGGTGCTTATAGCAGGAGGCCTGGCACACAGTAGGTACTCAGTAGATTGGTTTTTATTATTAGGGAATTTCTGAGGCTAGAGTAGCATTGCTGTGGCCAAACCTGTTATCACTTTGACTAAATTCAAACAGAAAGGCAATAGAGCTCCTCATTGCTCATCACTGTCCTTCATCAATACATTAAAAATCTGCACATGTAGGGCCGGGCACGGTGGCTCAAGCCTGTAATCCCAGCACTTTGGGAGGCTGAGGGGGGTGGATCACAAGGTCAAGAGATCGGGACCATCCTGGTCACCATGCTGAAACCCCGTCTCTACTAAAAATACAAAAAATTACCTGGGCATGGTGGCGCACGCCTATAATCCCAGCTACGTGGGAGGCTGAGGCAGGAGAATTGCCTGAACCCAGGAGGCAGAGGTTGCGGTGAGCTGAGATCGCACCATTGCACTCCAGCCTGGGTAATAAGAGTGAAACTCCATCTCAAAAAGAAAAAAATCTACACATGGAGCTGAACGCAGTGGCTCACGCCTGTAATTCCAGCACTTTGTGAGGCTGAGGCCAGGAGTTCAAGACCAGCTTAGCCAACATGGTGAAACCCCCGTCTCTACTAAAAATACAAAAATTAGTCGGGCAGTGGTGGGCACCTTTAATCACAGCTACTTGGGAGGCTGAGGCATGAGAATCATTTGAACCTGGGAAGCGAAGGTTGCAGTGAGCCGAGATTGCGCCACTGCACTCCAGCCTGGGTGACAGAGTGAGACCCTGTCTAAAAAACAAACAAACAAACAAACAAACAACAACAACAACAACAAAAACTACACATGGTATAGATTTCCCAGCTTAAAGGGTCCCTACTCTCACAAACCTTATTTTCCTAATTTATTTTGGGTAGGAGGGGATGGAATTGGCTAATACATACATGAGCCAATCTGTGAATGGATAACAAGTAATAAGTGAACAAGACATGAGATGGTGAGAGACTGAGAAAGGAGATAGAACAGGTGATATGATGCTGGCAGGCGGAGAGAAGCTCCTTCAACTAGTGTAGTGGGTGAAGGTCTCCATAAGGAGTGGCATCTGAGCTGAGGCCTGAAGGACAGAAGGACCCAGCCAAGGCCTAGACCTCAAGGAAGGGCATCCTTGGCAGAGGACACTTGGGTAAGATGGAGCCCTACTAGGGCTGCTCAGGAGAGTGTCAGTTTGGCTTCTTTGCCTGGGAAGGCAGGCAGTGAAGTTCTAACTACTTCTGTGGGTGTCATTCCTGAGAAACATGGGTTCTGGCATGGTTTTATATCTCTTTAGGTGTTCACTAGGAAATCAGAATTTTTTTGTTAACATGATCAAGCATCAACTGACATTACAAAGCCAAAGAAAAAAACTAAATAGTATGCACAATGTCTGGCTAGATTCAGAGGAATACAGATTCTTGGGATAGTGATTAGAAGACAGCAAGTTTCCGACAAGAAACAAAGAGAAATGAATGAAATGCACACCAAGTTTGCACTCCTGATTCCTGGTCTGGTCAAGCAGTATTTTTGTTTGTTTGTTTCTTTCTTCCTCTTTTTTATTTTGAGACAGAGCCTCGCTCTGCGGCCCAGGTTGGAGTGCAGTGGTGTGATGTTGGCTGGCTGCAACCTCCGCTTCCTGGGTTCAAGCAATTCTCTGCCTCAGACTCCTGAGTAGCTGGGATTACAGGTGCCTGCCACCACGCCCAACTAATTTTTGTATTTTTAGTAGAGATGGGGTTTCACCATCTTGGCCAGGCTGATCTTGAACTCCTGACCTTGTGATCCACCCGCTTCAGCCTCCCAAAGGGCTGGGACTATAGCTGTGAGCCACCATGCCCTGGATTTTATTTATTTACTTATTTAGAGGCAGAGTCTCACTCTTTCACCAGGTACCAGGGTGGAGTGCAGTGGCGTGATCTCGGCTCACTTAAACCTCTGCCTCCCAGCTTCAAGCATTTCTCCTGCCTCAGCCTCCTGAGTAGCTAGGACTACAGGTGTGCACCACCACACCCAGCTCATTTTTGTATTTTAGTAGAGATGGGGTTTCACTATGTTGGCCAGGATGGTCTTGATCTCTTGACCTCGTGATCCGCCTACCTCAGCCTCCCGAAGTGCTAGGATTACAAGCGTGAGCCACCGTACCTGGCTTTTTATCTTTAAGTTCAGGGGATGTGCAAGGTTTGTTACATAGGTAAACTTGTGCCATGGTGGTTTGCTGCACAGGTCATCCCATCACCTAGATATTGAGCCCAGCGTTCACTAGCTATTCTTCCGGATGCTTTTCCTTCTCCAACCCATCAACCTCCTACAGGTGCCCAGAGTGTATTGTTTCCCCATGTGTCCATGTGTTTTCATTGTTCAGCTTCTACTTGTAAGTGAGAACATGTGTTTGGTTTTCTGTTGCTGTGTTAGTTTGCTGAGGATAATGGCTTCCAGCTCCACCCCTGTCTGCCGAGGTCATGATCTTGTTCCTTTTTATGGCTGCATAGTATTCCATGGTATATATCTACCATTTTCTTGAGCTTATTCTTTTTTTTGGAGACAGAGTCTCACTTTGTTGCCCAGACTGGAGTACAGTGGCACAATCTGGGCTCACTGCAACCTCCTATAACCTCCACCTCCTGGGTGCAAGTGATTCTCATGCCTCAGGCCCCCAAGTAGCTGGGACTACAGGTGTGTGCCACCACATCCAGCTATTGTTTGCATTTTTAGTACTGATGGGGTTTCACCATAGTGCCCAGGCTGGTCTCAAATTCCTGACCTCAAGCAATCAGCCCAACTCAGCTTCCCAAAGTGCTGGGATTATGTCTAGCATTGATGGGCATTTGGGTTGATTCCATGCCTTCTCTATTGTAAATAGAAGCACTCTTTCCTTAGAAGGAAATTTAAATTTTGAATAGATTGTGCAGTCACAAAGTTCAAGGTACAAAGGCAGTATATTCAGGAAAAAATCTCCTCCCTTAGTCACCTGTCTCTCCACCCTAAGGTAGTTCTGCTCCCCAGGTCCAAGGTTGCCAGTTCCTCTTTAAACTACTCCCTGTGGAGTATTCCAGTGCTTTGGGGCAGAAGGGAAAGTTGGGAATAAGGGTGGGGTGAGGAAGAGGGAGGATGCAGTCACAGCAGGAGGGTGTCTGTAAGGCCCAGTCTCTAGAACTCTGGGGAGCGGGGAGTGCTCATTTCCTAGTGAAAAGGAAGAAAATGCTTTTCCTTACTCCAGGCCTGAAGCTTAGCCCTGGATGCAGAGGCTGTTCTTTCTTTTACAGCTTGCTTCGGGCTCAATCTGCTTAGTCTTATCAAAAGCCCTTTCTGTCATAATCCAGGTTTATCAGCACATCAACATCTCTTTAAATAGAATGCAAATTTAAAACCAATACTAAAAATATTAAAATGGTTTTGCCACCCTCTGCTGTAGCCTATTTATAATTTCAGCCAGTATCATCCCGTGGTGTATTTTTGCTACCTTCTATATAAAGTAGAACCAGCTTTTGTTAGCATGTGCATGGATGATTCTCCTGAGCTGAATCCTGGCTAATGCTTCTTTCCTGAATTCCAGATTGCTTACTGGGAAGTATTTGATGGGTCAGTAATCAGAGAATTGGAAGGTTCCCTGTCCGGGTCCATAAATGGCATGGATATCACACAGGAAGGAACGCATTTTGTCACAGGTTAGTCCTGAGATCGGAAAAAGCCAAGCCTGGTTTATTTAGATAAGGACATGGAAGGAACTCCCAGGCTGGAGGCAGTTGGAAAAGACCACATAAGGGTCTCAAGGCAACTTGGTTAGATTCAGACTCCAAGCAACACTGCAGCCAGTGTGGCTGACAAAGAAAAATCCAGAAGTCACATTTCAATGAGAGGAAACATTTGCACAAGAGCCTTAGGGGCACAAATAAAAGTTGCTAGGCTTGCTTTTCATGGTTGGGCATTGATAATAGAAATGGAGCCTTTATGTTTGTTTATTTGTTTCTTTATTTTTGAGACAGAGTCTTGCTGTTTTTGAGACAAGACTGGAGTGCAGTGGCCAGATCTCAGCTAACTAAATCCTATGCCTCTGGGTTCCTGTGATTCTCTTGCCTCAGCCTCCCAGGTAGCTGGGATTACAGGCACCCACCACCTCACCAGGCTAATTTTTGTATTTTTAGTGGAGAAGTGGTTTCTCCATGTTGGCAAGGTTGGTCTCAAACTCTTGACCTCAGGTGATCCGCCCATCTTGGCCTCCCAAAGTGCTGGGATTACAAGCATGAACCACCGCACCCCGCCGAAATGGGGACTTTAAATGTCCTGGGCTGTCCAGCATCCTTCTGAAGTCTTAAATGCCAGTCTTTTAATTCTACTTTATTATTGCATGATGTCATGTGCTTCCCACCAAAAAAAAAAAAAAAGGAATTCGATTTCAAAGGGGGCATTTACTACACAACATGCCGATTGGAATATCATTTATCATTTTCTGCCAACCTCTTTGATTCATCTGGATATTAACAAATAAATGCAGCCAGGCGCAGTGGTTTATGCCTGTAATCCCAGCACTTTGGGAGGCTAACGCAGGTGGATCACGTGTGGTCAGGAGTTTGAGACCAGCCTGGCCAACAAGGTGAAACCCTATCTCTACTAAAAATACAAAAATTAGCCGGGTGTGGTGGTACATGCCTATAATCTCAGCTACTTGGGAGGCTGAGATGGGAGAATCACCTGAGCCCAAGAGGCGGAGGCTGCAGTGAGCTGAGATGGTGACACTGCACTCCAGCCTGGGCAACAGAGACTGTGTCTCAAAATAAATAAATAAATAAATGCACTAAATGAATCAAGTTTCACCAAAACATTGACTATAAAACAAGATATCAAACTAGACACAGTGTGATCCCAATTATATATACAACATATATGTATACCAGTATACTTACAGAGAAAAGACTGGAAGGAACTAAGCCAAGATATTACTAGTGGTTATTTCTGGATAGTGGGATGAAAGGTGATTTTACCTCTTTGTATTTCCCCCTCACCTTCAAATTTACTGCAACAGACAGATTTTTATAATCAAGTAAAAGTGTTATTATAGGCTGGGTGCAGTGGCTCATGCCTGTAATCCCAGCTCTTTGGGAGGCCAAGATGGACAGATCACCTGAGGTTGGGAGTTTGAGACCAACCTGACCAACATGGAGAAACCCCATCTCTACTAAAAATACAAAAATTAGCCTGGTGTGGTGGTGCTTGCCCATAATCCCAGCTACTTGGGAGGCTGAGGCGAGAGAATCACTTGAGCCCAGGAGGCAGAGGCTGCAGTGAGCCAAGATGGTGACACTGCACTCCAGCCCAGGCAATAAGAGTGAAACTCTGTCTCAAAAAAAAAAAAAAAAAAAAAAAAAAAGGGTGATAGATACAAAGGGACCATGTTGAAAATGATCCATTTATTTGAAATGAGGGCCGTTTCTCTCTCTTCTATTGCAGCAATGCCATATAAGTGTTTATCTTTTTCAGGTGGAAATGACCATCTGGTCAAAGTTTGGGATTATAATGAGGGTGAAGTGACTCACGTCGGGGTGGGACACAGCGGCAACATCACACGCATCCGAATAAGTCCAGGAAATCAATATATTGTTAGTGTAAGTGCCGACGGAGCCATTTTGCGATGGAAGTACCCATACACCTCCTGAAGCTGGTGAGGTGACTCTGAGCCTTGGCATTGCACACAATCCTGTTGAAGACCAAGTTTAGATAACTCCAACACTGTCTTGATTTCTCGCTTCTCTGTTTCTGTTCTTGAGTCATATTTTTTTCTTTTTCCTTATAGAATGCATCTTATATTCTTGAATTGTACATTAAAATTGAAATATGTTCAGGAATAACTTGTGCAGACTCTAATTAGAACTTTTTACATTTTGAATAAATTCTCAGTTGTTGGTTTTCTGTTATCATCTGTTTTCTGTAACTCTGCAAAACCCACAGACCTTCCTTATGATCTGTGCACAGACAGCATTGCTATTATCCTCTAAAATTAAGGCGAAGTGAATTTCCTTCTTAATTGTCATTTCATTGGTTAAGCTAGATTCAGACTTAAATTCAGATCTTGGGTAGGCTTTTAAAAAATTATCTGAGCTGGCTGGGCACGGTGGCTCATACTTGTAATTCCGGCACTTTGGGAGGCCCAGGCAGGTGAATCATGAGGTCAGAAGATCGAGACTATCCTGGCCAACACGGTGAAACCCCGTCTCTCCTAAAATACAGAAAAATTAGCCAGGTGCGGTGTTGGCTGCCTGTAATCCCAGCTACTTGGGAGACTGACAGGGGAGAATTGCTTGAACCCGGGAGGCAGAGGTTGCAGTGAGCTGAGATCGAACCACTGCACTCCAGCCTGGCAACAGAGCAAGACTCCATCTTAAAAAATAAAAAATTCTCTGAGCCATGATTTTCTCTTTTGTCAAGCAAGAATAAACTCCTGCTTTAAAGCTTATTGTGAGAATTAAGTGTCTAATGTCCTACAGCATCGACAGAATTCCTGACAGAGAGTGAAATATGCATGCTTTCTCAGAGAAAATGTGTGGTGTTGGGGATCTCAGGGCAATTACTAAAGAAAGATGAAATTTTACGAGATGCTCTCTTGGAGTTGGCCATTACATCTTTCTTCTATGCTTTCCACCAGAAGGGTGATGAAATGGACCTGTGTGTTAATCACCCAACCGGGTATCTTCTTCCAGAGAGGGGTAAATAATGGCATTTTCCAGAACACAGGTCTCCAATTCACAGTACAGTCTGAGGTTTTATTTATCCTTTAAGTAATGCTGCTCTTTTGCATGAGGTAACTGCTGCATGTTATTTGTCCTTTAAGAATTGGGGCTTTTTTTGCAAGAGGTAACTGCTGCAACCCAGTGTAAAAGATCAAGATTTTTTTTTTTTTTTCAGACGGATTTTAGCTCTTGTCACCCAGACTGGAGTGCAATGGCGCAGTCTCGGCTCACTGAATCAAGTGATCAAGTGATTCTCCTGCCTCAGCCTCCTGAGTAGCTGGCTTTACAGGCATGCACCACCATCCCTGGCTAATTTTGTATCTTTAGCTGAGATGGGGTTTCACCATGTTGTCCAGGCTGGTCTCGAACTCCTAACCTCAGGTGATCCAGCCTCCTAAGGCTCCCAAAGTGCTGGGACTACAGCTGTGAGCCACCTCACCCAGCCAGGATCAAGAATATTTAATAAATGATGATCACTTATTAACAAGTAACATTTCAGGGCGTTGTTAGAACGCTGCATCTCACATGGTGCTGATCTCTTTTTGAGCTAGAAATGGACGAGAAACTCATTTTGCAAGACCTTGCCTGATTAATTATAAACCTGACAGTTGCATGGGATAATGTGAGGGGGGGGCCCCCAGGGTTACCCAGAGAATCAAGGGCGGGGCAAGGTCACACTAATTCTGATTGGGCAATCATTCAGCGAGGATTTTGCGTTAAGGAGTGAACTAGAAACCGCGTAGGGGGCGCACCTGAGAGCCTGAAAACTTCCTGGTAAGCAAATACTGAGGCTGGAAATGGCCTGAAGTTGGCAGTCCAGTGATTCAGGTCGAGTTCCGGTTTCTCTGCTTACGGGTCGGGCGCCCTTCCTATGTTGCGATAACCTCTTTGAGCCCACTTCTTTGCCAATTAAAGCAAGGATGATCAAGCCTTGCAAGCTTTTGGAAAACCATTCTAACCCAATCTGTAGTGTACAAAAGCAAACCACAACCATTAGGGTGTTTTCCCCCCCACAGGGCAACACGTGGCTCCCAGTTCAGGTCCCGGGTGGGCGGGTGCAGACAGAGGCTCTGCCTCCCGCAAAGGGCAGACCGTCTGGAAGGAGGTGGCGACACCTGTCCGCACACACCTGAGCCTGCATAAAAGCGCTCCCCGCCCCCACGCAGCACCCAGCGCGCGCCTCTCACCACGCCTGAGTTGGTGCTCTGGAGATGCCTGCCTTGCCCTGTCCTTTCAGCAGTAGCCAGGCCTTTGCGATTTACCAGGCGCCTTCAGAATGCTCATTCCTCCATCGTTTCCACTGCTTGAAGGCTGCTCAAGGAACAGGAACAGAGGCGAAACCCCGGCCTGTAGGTTTACGAGGTAAGGAAGGGTGGGGAACCCGACCGCGACGACTCCCAGTCAGCGCCGCGGGGGGCGGCACCAGGCAGGGGTAGGGGTGGCCCGGCGCGGCCCTGCAGGGGGCCGGTCGTGCGGTCGGATTCCCTCGCGGGGCGGGGCTGCCCCGCCCTTGGCTCCGCCTCCGCCCCGTCCCCGCACACCTGGTCCGCAGGTAGCCGGCGCCGGGCGCCTAGCAAAGCTGCAGGGCCTGCTGGCCGCTCGTCCGCCTCGGGCCCGGGGGCTCCGCGTCTGGAGCTGCGCCGGCGGCAGCCATGGACCCGGGCCCCGAGGACGCGGCAGGAGGGGGACCGCCCGCTCCCCGGCCCCGCCGCCGCCGCTCCCTGCGCCGCCTGTTCAGCCGCTTCCTGCTGGCGCTGGGAAGCCGCTCCCGCCCCGGGGACTTGCCGCCCCGGCCCCAGCCTGGACCCTGCGACGGCGACGGTGAGGGGGGCTTCGCCTGCGCCGCGGGCCCGGCTCCAGAGGCCCCCGGGAGCCCCGGGGAGGAGCGCCCGCCCGGACCGCACCCCCAGCTCCAGCTCCCCGCCGGCGATGGGGCGCGGCCGCCGGGCGCCCAGGGCTTGAAGAACCACGGCAACACCTGTTTCATGAACGCAGTGGTGCAGTGTCTCAGCAACACCGACCTGCTGGCCGAGTTCCTGGCGCTGGGGCACTACCGGGCGGCGCCGGGCCGCGCCGAGGTCACCGAGCAGCTGGCGGCGCTGGTGCGCGCGCTCTGGACTCGCGAATACACACCCCAACTTTCTGCGGAGTTCAAGGTAGGCAGCGCTGCGCCGCCGGCCGTCTGGCCCCCTGGTTTCGCCCCTTGAAAAGTGTGTAGTATCCAGAAAGGGTTTTCTTGGGGCCTTCTTTAGATGCCATTGACCAGTTCAGCCCCGGATTACCGGCTTTGTTTTGCGTGGGTGCGTTACGCTGTAGCTTGCTTCTGTTCTCTTTAGAAATGAATTCCCCTAGGTGTTTTGAGAGGCAGTGGGGTGAGCTGGCAGACTGAAGTGGGATAAGCGTTTTTGCATTCAACAAGCAATTGTCGAAGTGTTGAAGGCTCGCGGGCCAGACAGTGTTGTAAAGCCAGCTCTAGAGCTCCCAGTCTGGAATGACGTGGGGTGAGGAATGGGACTTTGAAGGCCAAGGCCTCAGAGGCAGGAGGAGATGCTTGCGTTGTGAGCTGAGTGTTGAGAAGGATGCATTCAGTGAAAGATCTAGGACTGATCCAGGCAGGAGGCACAGCAAGTACAATTGCCACAGACCCAAAGGAACTGAGTACGGGAGACGCGGAAAGAAAACCAGTGTCGTTGGAGCTTAGGAGGCGGTTGAGGTTCGCCAGATCATGTAAGACCTAGCGGGCAACGGTAAAGAGTTTGGATTTTATTCTAAACCCAATGGAATCTGAGAACCTGCAGGCCAGGTACCGTGCCGAGTGCCCAGCAAAGGCAGTGAGTGTGCTATTTTGGAGCTAGCATCCTTTTGTGTAAGGCACACGCACTCCCCTACAATGCATTAGCACGGGCTTGCATTTTATTGTCCGCAAGATCACGGTCTACTTACTTGGGATGCTGCAGGGTCATGAGGCTTCGTAAATTGTTTGTATCACTTCAACCCGGTTAAAGCAGGGTGTTTATTTGGGCTCCCAGTTGGATTAAAGGGTTCCTGATAACTGATGCACATGACTTGCTTCCTGCTTAAAAAAAAAAAAGGAAAGAAAAAGGAAAAAAGAAACCCACAGCTCTGGGCAGAGAGCTGAAGCTCCCTACAGACCAGTGATTGTTGTTCTTGGGGGAGGGGGAAACCTGTCAGTGTTCATTCCACAAGCATCACCGCTCTTGAGTTTCAGCCTGAGAAAGCAGTATTTGCCATGTGACCCGTGAGATGCCAACCCCCACCACCTTCTCTCTTGCCTCCATTAGTAAAGCACTGTTCTGCAGCAGTCAGTGGGTCAAATGGTTGTCACTAAATGTCTCTTTTTGGTGACATTTACTTGTTAAAAAAGACAGTATATTACAATGGTTAAGAGCAGGGTCTCTGGAGTTTTGTGATCTTGAGCAAGTCACTAAATCTCTCTGTGCTGTAACTTTATCTTTAACATAGAACCATAATGGTATCTCTTTTGTTACAGGGTTGTTGTATTAAATGAGTTCTATGTAGAACACAGTGCCAGCCCCACTGTGAAATGGGGATGAATAAGGAAATGTTCGTTATTCTATCATTACATCTTCTCACCTGCAGAAACCTAGAGGAGGGAGGTAATCTTTACATACATTTTCTCTTGCTAGATGAATTCCCATCCAGTTACCACAGCAATGGGAAAGGCTGCAGTAGTTTGAAAAAACTCCCAAATTAGTAATTAGCCTCAGTGACTCATCAGGATTTCCATCTCTCTCCTGCTGTCAAATCCCCAGGGCCTGGGAGCTCCCAGTAAGCCGCAGGGAATTGAAAGATAATCAGGTTTGTAATATGTTAATGAGGGAGATACAATCTGGAATTTCCTGGGATTTTTTTGGGTAACGAGCTTTGGAGGGAGGAAGGGAGGGTTCTAGAATCCAGGCTTTAAATATTATGGCTTGAAATCTAGGTGAACTCTTCTTATTTCACAGATGGGGAAACATTCGTTCAATGAATATTTATTGAATGTCCAGAGACCAGACTAGGAATGCATGGAATGCCTGTTGAGTGATGAGTACAAACCCAGATTCTGGGGCTGCTCTCCAGGAGCTTATGGTCTAGAGGTAGAAATGGATGTTAATGAAATAATCACACAGGCATATGATTGGAACAGAAATATGTTAGAAAGGACACTTACAAGGAGCTATGACAGTTACAGCAGGAAAATGTGATGGCTGCCCTGGAGGGGTAACCAACCACCTAGTTGAATTTTGAAGGATTCATTGTCAATGAAGGGCTTGGGAAGATGGGAAAGTGCATTCCAGGACCTGGGAACTGAAATGCCAACCAGGGAAGGAGGTGGGGCCGAGAGGCCTCTGTTCAATGAATTAATAAAAGCCTCCTTGGCTGGGGAGGAAAGACTGGAGAATTGGTTGCAGACATACCACATAAGGTTTTGTTAAGAAGTCTAGTCTTGTCTCTTCTCTTTTTCTCTCTCCTTTCTTTCTTTCTTTCTCCCTTCCCCTTCCCACTCCCTCCTTTCCTTCCTTCCTCCCACTTTCTTTTTTTTTCTTTCCCTCCCTCCCTTCCTTCTTTCTGCTCTCCCTCTTTCTTTTTTCTCTCTTTTTTCTTTTCCTCCCTCCCTCCCTTCCTTCTGTTTCTCTTTCTCCTCTCTCTCTCTTTCTCTCTTAAGAGAGAGGGTCACACTCTGTGATACAGACTGGAGTATAGTGATGCCATCATAGCTCTCTGCAGTCTTCAACTCCTGAGCTCAAGCCATCCTCCTACCTCAGCCTCCTGAGTAGCTAGGAGTGCAGGCACGTGCTACCATGCCTGGCTAATTTTTTAAAATTAATTTTTATAGAGACAGCATCTCACTTTGTTGTCCAGGCTGTTCTTGAACTCCTGGTTTCAAGCAATCCTCTCACCTTTGCCTCCCAAAGTATGGGATTACAGGCGTGGGCCACCATGCCAGTCTGGGGAGTTTGGTTCAGACCAAGGAAGGGAGGAAACTGAGGAGACCAGCATGCTGGAGTGTTACCCCAATATCAGACCCACAAATGGCATGAGTTTGCCAAGTTCCTCCTTCCTGAGCTCAGACTTCCCAACCTCCTACAGACAGCAGGATCACTATTTAACAGCAAATGAATATGTACGGTTTAAAAATCCTGTCCATGGGCTGGGTGTGGTGACTCATGCCTGTAATCCCAGCACTTTGGGAGTCTGGGGCAGGTGGATCACCTGAGGTCAGGAGTTTAACACCAACCTGATGAATATGGTGAAATCCCTGTCTCTACTGAAAATACAAAATTAGGCCAGGCATGGTGGCAGGTGCCTGTAATCCCAGCTACTCAGGAGGTTGAGGCAGGAGAATTGTTTGGACCTGGGAGATGGAGGTTGCAGTGAGCCAAGATCATCCCACTGCTCTCCAGCCTGGGCAACAGAGCAAGACTCCCTCTGGAAAAAAAAAAAAAGATAAAAGTCCTGTGTATGGTTTTGTCTAGGATTCTTTTCTTTCTTTCTTTCTATCATTTATGTTTCACTTTTAGATTCAGTGGGTGCATGTGCAGGTTTGTTATAAGCATATATTGTGTGATGCTGAAATTTGGGCTTCTCTTGACACTGTCACCCACATAGTGAACAGTGTCCAATAGGAAGTTTTTGGACCCTTGTCCCCCTGCCTCCCTCCCTCCCTCCTTCCTTTTGGAGTTCCCAGTGTTTATGGTTCCCTTCCTTATGTCCATGTGAAACCAAGATTTAGCTCCCGCTTATAAGTGAGAACATGCAATATTTGATTTTCTGTGCTTTTTTAATGATGTATTAAATATTGCACATTATAAAAAAATATATAAAAATTCTGTAATTTTAACCTCTAGAGATAACCATTGTAAGTACACTGATAGGTTCTGAAGTATATACAAACAACTGAAAATTCTAGTTTTATATCCTGCTTTTCTCATTTAAGCACTGTTACAAGACATTTTCTTAGTCTTAATAATACACATCAATCATTAATAATTGCTTAATGATTATTATATTATTAAATGAAACAATTCTTTTTTTTTTTTTTTTTTTTTTTTTTGAGATGGAGTTTCACTCTCGTTGCCAAGGCTGGAGTGCAGTGGAGTGATCTCGGCTCACTGCAATCTCCAATCTTCAAGGGATTCTTTTGCTTCAGCCTCCCGAGTAGCTGGGATTACAGGCAAGCACCACCACGCCTGGCTAATTTTTGTATTTTTAGTAGAGACATGGTTTTGCCCTGTTGACCAGGCTGCTCTTGATCTCCTGACCTCAGGTGATCTGCCCACCTCGACCTCCCAAAGTGCTGGGATTATAGGCATGAGCCAATGCACTGGCCTAAGTGAACCAATTCTTTATGGAGACAATGATATATATATTTTCCAGTATTATACTGTATTGAAGTTTCTTGTATTTAAGTCATTATTGCCAGGTGTGATTATTTCCATAAGCTTAATTCTTACAAGTGGAATTACACAGTCAAAGCA